AGAAGGAAGAGGAAGAAAGGGCTGGTGCTGGTGTCCCTCTTATCAGTGGAGGTCAATTGCTACCTGTTGTCCCAGGTTCTAACCCAAGTATAATGTGAAATTATTTAGGTAATGTGATGATCTAAACAACTTGTTTACCTGAGTTTAAAATGCAAAGTTATAAGAAAAAGTCATGCCTCTTGGTGGCATCCTTGGATCTGTGTGCCCCTCTGTTGCCTGTTGGTCGTGGCTTCCTTGTTCCCGAACTGGCTGCTCTGCCACGCTTGGCTTGGAACACATTGAAGACCACAGGCAGGGACACTGCCACTGAATCAAATGGAGGGCAGTGAGAGGGAAAAGAAAGGTGGCATGTGGCTGGTTCTTTCCTTCCGGAATCTCCTATATAGTCTTTGCCTGGGGGGCAGTGAGGCTGAAGGTAGAAGCCTGGAACACCCAACAGGCACAGTGAGCATGTCTCAGCACTAGCGAAGTGTGAGCGCACAAAAATGGTTTTCCAAAAAGAGAGAACTTGAAATAAAGTAGTTTTGGGAAAGACTAGTATTTTGCATTTCACTTTGCTTATTTACAGCTTAGTGTTGATGCAATTTGGAGTGACTTAAGGGTTGTACTCATAGTCTCTTTAGAATTAAGGTCTTACCTTTGGCCACCTCAACCCTTAGAAAAATAATCCAAGTCTCCTAAAGTTTTTTGATACTGAGCTGTTATAAAACATAAATTCTGTGAGTTTACAAAACATTGGAGTTGTATTAGGCATGTCTGAGTGTATATTCAGGCATACAGACTCAATGCATGGCAGAAATTCATTTGGGTGCCTCCATAGAACGGACTCGATCTCAATTGTAGACTTTGTGCATATTAGTGACATTTTTGGATTTTGCTATGCCATTTTTTAAAAAATGTTTAATTAGGAACTGGTAGATATCTTTTAAATCAGTCCAATTCTCTTGGTTACATATGGGATGAACCTAGTGATACACTTAAGCATTTGGGGGAGCTTTTTTTCAAAACGAAACAGCTAGAAATATATAGTACAGCTCAGCTATTCAGCCCAAACTTGAATATTTACAAAAGGCAACAACCAAAGTTTGTCAGTGAATGAGTGGATAAAGAAAACATGTGTATGTCTATACAATGGAGTATTACTCAACCATAAAAAGGAAATCCTCTTTGCAACAACATGGACCTTGACAAGGGCATTACACTAAGTGAAGTAAGTCTGAGACAAATTTTGTATGACCTCACTTGTATGTGGAATCTAAAAAAAAAACCTTCATAGAAACATGGTGGTGGTTCCCGGGCTGAGGGTGGGATGGGTGAAGCTGGTCAAAGTATACAAACCCAGTTATAAGATGAATAAGTTCTGGGAATCTAATGATCCCCAGAAGACAGCATGATGACTCTAGTTTACTATATTGTATAATTGAAAGTTGCTAAGAGAGTAGATCTTAGGACAGGTGATGGATGTGTTCACTAACCTTATTATAATCATTTCCCAATATGTACATATATCAAGTCATATTATCTCAAACTTGGTGTTTTATATCACATATCTCAAGAAAGCAGGGGGAAAATAATAGAAAAGAGGGACATTTGGCTACACACACACAATGTTATGAGACAAAGGCATACAGATTGGAGTGATAGATTTTCAAGCCAAGGGACACCAAGGATCGCTGGCAACCACCAGAAACTAGGAGAGGGGCATGGAACAGTTCCCTCGAGCCTCCAGAAGGAACCAACCCTGCTGTTCCCTTGATTGTGGATCTCTGAACTCTAAGAGAATAAACTGTTGTTTTAAGTCACCTAGTTTGTGGTAATTGTTAGGATAGCCACAGAAATCTAACATCAATGCTAATGTAGAAAATTAAAATCTAGAAATATGACCCCCATTATAATTTTATAAAATCATTTTTTCCCTAAGATTGTATAAAAGTGAGGAAGAGTATAGTAAGACATATCCCACACACATACACCAATCATGAAGGCACTGTTTAATGCAGAGAAATGTTTTGACCTCCAGCTAGACCCTGAGGTTCTCTTTTGCTCATTTCTTTAAAAAAAGTTCCTGAGGGGAGAAGTGGTAGCGGCCAGACAGCCCACATTTGCAAAGGTTCTCCGCGCGCCGCGGCCCTCAGGCACCCGGCATGCGCCCGCCCCGCCACCACGATGCCCAAGAGGAAGGTCAGCTCCGCCGAGGGGGCGGTGAAGGAGGAGCCCAAGAGGAGATCGGCGAGGTTGTCAGCTAAACCTGCTCCTGTGAAAGTGAAAACCAAGCCAAAAAAGGCGGCAGGAAAGGATAAATGTGCAGACAAAAAAGTACAAACGAAAGGAAAAAGGGGAGCAAAGGGAAAAGAGGCCGAAGTGGCTAACCAAGAACCTAAGGAAGATCTACCTGCGGAAAACGGAGAGACTAAAAACGAGGAGAGTCCAGCCTCAGATGAGGCAGGAGAAAAAGAAGCCAAGTCTGATTAATATCATATATCATGTCTTATCAGTGGTCCCTGTCTCCCTTCTTGTACAATCCAGAGGAATATTTTTATCAACTATTTTGTAAATGCAAGTTTTTTAGTAGCTCTAGAAACATTTTTAAGAAGGAGGGAATTCCACCTCATCCCATTTTTTTAAGTGTAAATGATTTTTTTTAAGAGGTGAAATCATTTGCTGGTTGTTTATTTTTTGGTACAACCAGAAAATAGTGGGATATTGATATGGGAGGCTTTGATTGTCTTGGGTGTCAGCTTAACATTCCATAGATGGGGGTAGTTTTTATATCCTATAATACAAAGCATACTAAATGGCAATTTGGAGTCAGTCGTGCATTTACTATGTCTTGAACATTTTAAGTTACTTCTATTCTCATGTTTTTGGTAGAGTTGTTTCCTAAAGAAAACCATTCCTTGATCTTGGCTCTCCCTGTCAGAATTTTGTGCACTCTGTAACATCTATGTTGTGGTAGTCCAGTTTTCCTAGTAACTTTGTTAATGTGCTGTGAAAGATTGAAAATTCCGATTATGTAGTATATATGATATTAAATTGTGAATTAGTCGGACTTGACGTAACAGCGTGTCAACATTTGCAGGTATTGGTACTTGATACTCTATTAAGAAAATTAGTCCCCAAATTTTAAGCTGGAAAGTCACTGGAATAACTTCAGAAAAGAATCACAACTACATGAATTTACATTTTTGGTACGTATGTTAAGAATTGTGTACAAATTGAAATGTCTGTGTACGTATCCTCAAAACAACCAATAAAATCTCACGAAAAAAAAAAAAGTTCCTGAAAGTGAGCATTTTATGCATTAAAAAAAAAGGTCCACAGTTCCTTTGTCCACTTAGGTGAAATGCAATAAACATTGACTATTTTTAAAGATTTCATGTATTTATTTTCAGAGAGAGGGGAAGGGAGGGAGAAAGAGGGAGAGAAACATCAGTGTGCGGGACAAACACCAACTGGTTGCCTCTCGGATCTGGTCCATAACCCAGGCATGTGCCCTGGCAGGGAATCAAACCAGCAACCTTTTGGTTGACAAGGCGGCACTGAATCTACTGAGCCACGCCAGCCAGGACAAACATTAACTTAAAAAGGACAGTCTTGTCTTTGTTTCACAAATGTTACCAGAAGACTAAGGGTCTTTTTTTTTTAATCAAATGTATTGGGGTGACATTGGTTGATAAAATTATATAGATAGGTTTCAGGTGTATTTTGTATTGTGTACACCACCCCCACCCCCGCCCCCAAAGACAAGTCTTCTATCACCATTTATCACCACTTTACCCTCCTCTACCTCCCCCCACCCCCTTCCCCTCTGGTAATTACCATGCTGTTGTTTATGCCTATGAGTTTGCCTGTTTATTTATTTTTGCTTAATCCCTTCATCTTTTTCACCCAGACTCGCAACACCCCTCCTGACAGCTGGCAGCCTGTTCTCTGTCTATGAGTCTGTTTCTATTTGTTAGTTTATTTTGTTCATTAGATTCTACACATAAGTGAAATCGTATGGTACTCGTCTGTCTCTGACTGACTTATTTCACTTAGCATAATGTTCTCCAGGTCCATCCATGATGTTGCAAGGGATAAGACTTCCTTTGTTTTTATAGTCAAGTAGTATTCCATTCTGTAAATGTACCACAGCTGTTTTATTCACTCACCTACTGATGGGTACTTGGGCTGCTTCCAAATCTTGGCTATTGTAAATAACACTGCAGTGAACATAGGGGTGCACATCACAAAAGACCCCTAATAGTCAAAGCAATCTTGAGGAAGAACAAAGTTGCAGGAATCATGCTACCTTATATCAAACTATACCACAAGGCCATAGTAATCAAAACTGCATGGTACTGGCATAAAAACAGACACATAGATCAATGGGACAGAATAGAGAGCCAAGAAATAAAGCCATGCCTTTACAGTCAATATTTGGTAAAGAATGCAAGAACATACAATAGGATAAAGATAGTCTATTCAATAAATGGTGTTGGAAAAATTGGACAGATGCAAAAAAAAAAAAAAAATGAAACTAGACCACTTCCTTACACCATACACAGGAATAAACGCAAAATGAATAGAAGACTTAAATGTAAACTCACAAAAAAAATAAAAGTCCTAGAAGAAAACATGGCACTTGTATGCCCCAGCAGTAAAATCTCAGACATTTCTTGTAGCAGTATTTTTTCTGATATATTGCCTCCAGCAAGGGAAACAAAAAAATTAGCAATTTGGACTACATCAAACTAAAGTTTGCACAGCAAAGGAAACCATCAACAATGAAAAAAACATCCCACTGAATGGAAGGACATACTCGCCAATGATACATCTGATAAGGGGTTAATACCCAAAATTTATAAAGAACTTACAAAACTCAACACCAAAAAAACAAGTAAATTAAAAAATTGCTGTTTTGACTATAAAGCTAGAAGCACATTTTTGCCATATCCTGAAAAGCAACCGAGAAACTCCAAAGGCCTCAGGAAACAACCAGTGCTTTCCTCATCCCCAGTTCTTAGATTAAGAATCTGCTGGAATTGATTCCTTTAATAACAAACATGTGCCTTGCCAGAGCTTGTCCACGACGAAGTTTATTTCACTTAGTATAATGCCCTCAGCTTCCTAAAAGGGCTTGAGAATGTCACTAATGTAGTATAAGAGACTGGATTATGGAATTTATTTTATCTCTTCCTTCCACACACAATTCTGTACACCGGAGGAGCATTGATTGATATTATAAAACAAGAATGCTCCGTCCCAGTAGGAGTGGTATGATGTGGGCCACCACGTTTCTGCAAACACAGTGAAGTAGAAGGAAAGGACATGTGTGACGGAATTAGAGACAGAGCTGAGAGGGCAGTGATTGACCATCAGTTTATCTTCTTTCTTCCACACAGGCGTCCAGCTCCTCAGCTCTAGTTCAACTGGAGGAGGGGAAGCTGGGCTGATTGAAGGTCTGGAGTTTCAGCGGGTAGTCAAAGGCTGGGTTCTTGTAGGCCACCAGGTGCGTGTCATAGCACTGCCTGTGTGGCCTGCGGCCCCGCCTGCAGAGACACAGGGTCAACAGTAGGGTGCAGACGAGCAGCAGGCCGCTCGTTGCACACAGGCCCGCAAAGATGAGCACGAAGCTGGGCTTGGTGGTGAAGGTGGAGCAGGGCTCCCTCCAGCCCAAGGCCTGCGGCTGGCTCAGCCCCGCCCTGTTGGCCGCCAGGACACACACGCGGTACGTGGTGTCAGGCGAGAGCCCGTACAAGGGGTGCTGCCGGGCGGTGACATAGATGTCCCCTACCACCGACTGGTTCCCCTGCCAGCCCTCTGGAGAGTAGCGAATCTGGTAGCCGCGCACCACCGAGTTAGGGGCGCACCAGCGGACAAGCGCAGATGTGTCGGTGGTCTCTGACACCCCCTGCAGTTTGGGAGGGTCCGGAATAATGTCTTCGCCGCTGAGGCCGGGGCACCGGCACCGCAAGTGCCTCTGCAGGTCTGCGCACGGGATCTGGAGGTGTTTACAGGGGTGGTAATCACAGGGAACATCTCTGAAAGTCGCTCCTACCTCCTCAACCTCACTCTCACTCTCACTCTCACTCAAGTCGTCCAAAAGCAGGACTGGAATTTCACCCTCGGAAGGACTTGGGTGGGGGACCTGCTGGGTGGCCTGTGTCTTCCAGTCGTGCCTGGGTGTGCTCAGTGGGTTCCCGGAGGCAGGGAAGAGACCGCGTTGTTTGCTGGCAGGTGGGGTGGAGACAGCTGAGATATTAGGGTCGAGGAGAAGCCTGGCAGCATGTTCTCTGTGCTCTATCCCAGCTGTGCTTGCAGCCACGGGTGGATCGCTGGAGTTTCTGAGACCTGATGTAGAGATGGTATTGGAGGCCGTGGCCCCCTCTCCAACACTGCTGTGCGACCATGCAGCTCGCGAGGTGGGCCCCACGGTATGGGAGGGAGCCTTGGTGACACTCTGTAGGCCTCTCACAGCTTGAGTGGAGAGCGCTGTGCTCGGTGGGGTGAAAGGACCCTGTGTAGATCGTGCCTGGGGGAAGCGGCTGGAGGAGGGTGAGTTGGAATCAAGGAGAGTGGAGCTTTGGTCCCAGTGGCACACACTGGGCAGCTGGGACAGCGCAACAGGGGCTGGGAAGGCCCCTGGGGATGCTGCAGCTGGTGCACACAGAGTGTCGGCTGCCCTAGAAGGGAAGTTAACCAGTTACAAGGTATTTTTGGCATCAAAACTGCCTATATGCTGCCCTTTGAGTCCTCAGTGTAGACAATCCCTTTTGCTAAGGCCTGTCAACACATCCACCAGGTACCTCGTGGCACACACTAGACACACATCACCTCACTGATCTTCAAAGCAACCTCCGGAGGAGGCTCCCAGGAGGCAGAGGAAACATAAGTTCAGAAAGAGGAATTACCTGCCCAAGATGCCATGGCCAGCAAATGGCAGAGCCTAAACCTGGGCAAACACTATGAAGGGCAGTCCAGAGTCCCCAAATGTTCTCACCTGTCTGCTTCCTAGCCATGCGTACTAGTCACAACAGTCACATTAGTTAACATTTTCTGAGTTTATCTGTTAGCACTTTACTGTATCTGTGGATTTAGTCTGCACTACCTTATGAGGTAGGCACTATTACCCCATTTTACAGATGAGGTGGTAGAGGCCCAGAGAGGTTAAGTAATGCAGCCAAAATGAACAGTAGTCAGTGGTGTGAAGAGCCTGCACTCTCAACCTCTTCACTAATGCAAAGAGAGACCCTTCACTGCAAAGGGCCGGTGTGCTTGTCTTTGGGGTCAACATGAAGTGGAGGAGACAGGCTGAGCCTTATTGTTTCCAGGCTTGAGTGGGAAGTGAGGAAAAGACCCCCACAGGAGAGGGGATGTCTCCCCAAGTGAGCTGGTGGAGCTGGTTTGAGGGTGCTCAAGACCAGAGGTGTTCCTAACCTCCATCCTTTTCTGGGGTCAACCTGGGCATGACTCCCCACTGCAAAAATAGCTCTTGCAGGTAAGAGCCAATGAGAAGTTTTCAAAGGACTGTCTGTCCCATGATAGTTCTGTAATCCCACTGGCCTTGGACTGAATGACACAGGAGGCCAGGCTCCATCTGGGGGACTCACGGGAGCCCAGTGCTTAAGCACAGTTTAGGAGGAAAATGGGTTCTGCCTCCTCCACCCAGCAGTTGCGTGAATCTAAGCAGGTACCTCTCCTGCTTGGGCCCCAGTCCATTCATCTGTAAAGTGGGGCAATGATAACTCTGCTTTGGCAGAGACAAGCGAACTGTTCACTGAGCCCATTTCTTTTTCCTATTGGGAATAGGACTACATTTCCAAGCCTTTTTTGCAGTTAGGCGTGGGTGTTAGTGGGAGTGATGGGCCCCACCTCCTGGTCTGGCTCATTAAAACCTGCCCTGTCTCTTCCTCCATGCTCTCTGCCTCTCTGGCTCACCGGAAGGGAAGCAGAGTCTCTGTTAGTTGGGTCGCTGCATGTGACTACATGAGAGATGGCCGCCCTGCCCAACAGTGCCACCCTGCCCAGCCTGGTTGTGCGAGCAAGACATGAGCTGGCAGAATTTCAGTTCCGGAGGCTGACCCTCACCCCTTAATCACCTGCTTTGTAAATGTGTTACCTGCTTAGGACTATCTTCTTTGCATCCACGAGGAGCCATGACAACTCGCAGCTGCAAGTGAGAGGGTTGCCGAAGAGGTTGACGGATAGGACCTGGGAGGTATGCAGGGTCCAAGGAGGGAAGGAACTCAAGTTGCAGCTGAAATACCCAGAAAATCAATTAAGCCAGGCTTTTACAATCAGGTCAAAACTATTCCCAGAGAGCCATGGTAGTGTATGGGAAAAACCATCTGTTAGGGGTTAGATGATATTTACTTTGGGCAAAACACTTAATGACCTTGGACTTCCTGTTTTCATCGTTTCACAGGTGAGGAAACTGACCTACAGAAGTGTTAAGTAACTTGCCCCAACTCACACAGCTAGTAAGTGGTGGAGTCAGGATTTGAGCCCGGGCAGTTTGGCTCCACGTCCGAGGCCTTACACACAATGTTGCATCAATCTAAAGCTCAAAAGAGAAGTCTGAGCCAGAGATATCACTCTCACTGACATATCACCACAACCATCATTATTATCACCATTCCTGTCACTATCACCAGTACACCATATTGCCAACAGCATCACAATCACCATTACCACCATCGCCATCACTTTCGTCATTACCGTCACCTTCATCACAGCCACCATCACCTGCACTGATGTTATAGAGCACACACCACCCGACAGGCCCTGAGCTAAGTGCTCTGCATCTTCTATCTCCTTTCCTTTGTGACAAACCCTGAAGTGAAGGACTCTGGTTGGGTCTGGAGCTGACAGGGAAAAGAGAGAAGTGACTCATTCCCAGGGCCCAGGTGTGGGTTCCTAGGAAAGGACGTGACCTGGGATCATCTTCAAAGGGACGCTGCCCTTTCTGTTAGAAGTCAGGAAGGTGGGTGGATAGAGTGACACTTTGGACATCACTGGGCCAGAAGACACCGACCCTGGTTGCTGACTGCAAGTAGGACCTTTCTACGCTCTCACGTTGCCTCCTTAGACCTGTGGCTGACTTCCCACATGGGGAAGCAGGTGGTTGGAGAAATAAAGAACACGATGCCCTCATCCCCCCTTCCTAGTGCAGGTTTCTCATCCTGGGCTTAAAGGAAGCCTTACGTGCATGAGAGTTTGGAGTTTTAATATTACTCTGGACAGAATTAAGGTACACAGTTTTCAGGCTGGGGGGACTATCTGGGACCCACCCAAGGATACCACCCGAAGGATGAGGAAGAACAAAACCCCAGAGAGGACTTGAAGGAGCCAACGGGGGAAAATTGACATCTGATATGCTCTATAAAATAATTACACCTATTCAATATAGTACAACGGGCAGAAGTGAGTCATGCGATTCAGAAACACTTACTTCTGGAGCAGAAGGAGCTGTAGGCGAGGAGTATCTTGAAAGATGTGTGTCTGGACAGAGGTAAGTGCTGGGGAATCTTGACAATCCAGCTGTTGCAGGTCAGGGGTCATCTTGAAAATGTCCCCCTCCAGGCTCCTCAGCCTGGGCATGTTCTTTAGAGAGAGGGACGTGAGCTTGGGCAGGTCTCTGATCCACCCTGACTGAACTGAAACACAGAGGGGAAACTGCCCACTACCCGGGAAGACACTAACTTAGGAGGCTGGCAGGGCATTACTGAAACAACACGAGTGACAAGGTGAGTTGTGAAAGTCATTGCTGAGCATTGGCACAGGTGGTAGCTTTAGGGATCAGAAACAGGGGCCATTTCAGCTGAAAGGCCAATCCTTCCTTCCCTCCAGCCCGAGGCGGCTGAGGCCACAGAGGAGAATGATAAGCCCGAGGCCACACAGGGGGAAAGGACAGAGCCAGGACTTGAACCCAGGATACTGTCTCCAACTCCGCTGCTGCCCTTACTTTCTCGTTAAACTCCACACAGAAATACCCCAACCTTCGTTCTAATGGCTACCAGGAGTGACGAAATTTTCGAGGAAGGAGGAGAAAAGGAGAAGGCCGAAGGAGGGCCAGAAACCTAATTATGTGGCTCTCCTCACACATGGATAATGTGTCCCTCCCCCTCTGTTTCCAGTTCTTGCTCTTTTCTTTCTTTGTCTTTGGTGGGACAGGTGACTTTAGACACATGAAGTGTTTTTTAAAAATAATGAAACCAACCTTGTGCACCAGAGTTGGAATACACCAAGTACAGGAGAACTAGTATTCTTACCGCCCTCCTGTGTTTTGTTTTGAGGGATTCAACATTCACAGGCACAATTTTAGGTCATAAAGTAGAAAAGGCTGTGAATGTATCCCCAGAGCATCATTTGCTTCACGTGAACTGCCTGTTTGATGTTAATAAGCCCCGAAACAAGGTATCCACTTTCCCATTCTACTACCTTTCTGTACAACAGGGAAGCTAAACTTTGGGTTCTGGACCCAGAAAGCTTGGGTTTGGATTTGGAGATACCACTTAATGAACTGTGAGACCTTGGGCCAGTCATTCACCTTTCTGGACCTCATATGTAAAACAGAGATGATAGTTCCTATCTCTTGAGATTCAAGGAATTAACAAACGCCCTGTGGCATTTCCAACAGAGTGTGTGTGGCTCAGGAAAAACTAACCTAGGCCAGGTTCGTTTTGAGCGACACTGTGAGCGACGAACCTGGGTCACCACCCCTTGAAAAGCTGGCCCTGGAGTCACAGGCCCAGCCTGCTTCTGAAAACCTGGGACGCCCAGGACTCACCTTGCTTGAGGAGCGTGCCGCTGAGGTCCAGGACCTCGAGAGTGGCCAGGTGCACGAAGGCGGCGTCAGCGATGTCCACCTGGGCGCCGCTGCCCAGCGCGGTGCCGGAGAGGTTCAGCAGACGCAACGCGGGGAAGCAGGCGAAGGCCCTGGGCGGCAGCGACTGCAGGGGGTTCCCGGCGAGCTCCAGCGTGCGAAGGCTGCTCAGAGCGGGCCCAGAGCATGGTGGCAGGGTAGCCAGCGTGTTGTAGCTGAGGTCCAGCGTGTGCAGCCCCGCGGGCCAGCCAGGGCCCCAGCGCAGTGTGCCGATGAGGTTGTGGTGCAGCGTCAGCACCTGCAGCTGCGGCAGGTGGCCGAGCTCTGAGGCACTCAGGGCGCTCAGCAGATTGTGGCTGCCATCCAGGCTGCGCAGCACGTGAGGCAGGCAGCTCGGCAGGTGTTCCAGGCTGCGGTTTGCCAGGGTCAAGGTTGTGGACCCCATAGGGAAGAGCCCCTCACACGGTGAGCCCGTGGCGTTACTGGCCCCGCTTCCAGGGGGGCCCTGCTGGGTGGGCCAGAAAAGAGGGGGCCTTCCCTGGTGAGGCGCTGCCAGGCTCAGGCACAGCGCTGTGGGCAGCAACAGCAGCAGGGCCAACCACATGGCGCGTGGCTGGGAAGAGAACAATGGTGACCGACCATTAAATCCTGAAAAAAACACCCTCAAACGGAGTATAAATATGCACCCTACCACCAGGCTTTAAGGAGGAGCACAAGTCCTGGATGTTCCCTAGTGTTACTGTGTGTGCAGTGACTTTGCCCCTGACAGCTTTTCCCTCTCATCTCCCCCAAGTGCACCGAGGCACCTCCTGTTCTTCCTTCTCCCAGCGATACCCTTCCCTCTAATTCCCTCTAATTCTGTGGATGCTAACCCCCAGGAGACCTCCTGCAGAAGGCCTCCCTCATCTGTCCCATCTGGGCCTGAATCTCCTGGTACCCTCCTGGGTTTCCTTGTTCCCATTACATGCGTTTCTGGAGGGAAGGGAACTTGCTCTTTATCACTGCAAATGCCCCAGGTCCGCAGGCACTGGTGCATAAACATCTATTAATAACGAGCCAGTGAATGGCTTCAGGTAAGTGGCTCCACTGGAAAATAAAGGTGGGACTTGAGAAAGATTGTCAGTCCCGGCGAAACTCTGTTGCCCCATTTCCCCTTTAGAACTGCCTGGCCTCAGGTGAGTCCTGGCTTGCAGGTTACATTTAAAAATAAGTTCTGGAGTCTCTCTCTTGCGAGGGCCCTCAGGGTTGCCTTCAGTGAAGAAAGGAGCCTCTTGGGAGGCTTGGGAACTTGGAGTCAAGACTTTTCTGGTCCCTCCTTGTTCCTAACAAAAGCCAAAGCTCCTGAGGTCTCCCATGCCTGGGGGAGCGGTGGGTGACGGAGAGTTACCTGGTGCAGAGTTTCTGGAGTTCCCAGGAGCACAGGGCAGCTGGGGGATCTGGCAGGGGTAGACCAGGCAGCTGTGGGCTGGTTTGGGAGCGGCAAATCTACTTCCAGCCAAGCCTTGACCTTGATATGCACCCGTTTCTGTAGGCATGGATTCCTGCTCCAGCTATCTCTGCTGACCACTAGGTCTCTGAGCAACCCCCCATGCTTCCCTCTTGCTAGTTTGGGGTCCTGGCAGTGAGAAAGAGCCAGGAAACTGAGGCCAGGAATCCATGTGTCCAGCAGTGTGTCATACTCACTGGAATCTGTCCTTTTGGAGTGTGGCACTCCTGGATGTTCCTTTGTAGCCTTCAGTCTTGTCTTATAGATCCTAGGAGCCAGTGATTTACACAGCAGCTCAACTCTGAATTCCAGAGGGAGGCCTGTTTCCCAGACGCTGCTGCTGCCCCCAGCTCCACCCACTAAGAGGGCCTGAGATACCCCAGTCCCTGCCTCCCATCCTTCCTCACATTGTGGTCTTTAACCAACACCCTTACTGCCTGTCTCCTCCTCCCACTCTGGGCTTGGACCTGCCCCTTTCCAGGCCTGCTGCCTCCTCCCAGCCCTCCCCCATCTTCATCTCGCCTTACACTGCCTTTCCAGGCCTGAAAAATGGAGGGAGTCCGCTCTCCCAGCCAAGGTGAGGGCTGAAGGCTGATGGGCGCAGCGAGGCAGAGGCTGCACTGTCACCTCCCTGGAATCTGATCCTCCTGCCAAGAGGTTTCCATTTCTTGGGATGCTTGGAGAATAAGTGGTGAGCTCATATGAGGAGGGAGCCCTGTGTCCCAAAGGAGGAAGGTACCCTGCCTGTAGGAAGGCCTGCAGAGATTTACAGGGCAAAGTGGCCGGACAGGGCTCTTCAGAGGAGTCTGGGAGCAGGGGCAACCTCAAACCAGATCCAGAAGCCCCGAGGAGGATTGGTTTGATTTCTCTTGGTGACAGAGTGGAGGTTTGTCTCTCGTACGTGTTAGGAATAAAGAGGACAGATGTGCAGAAAGAACATTCCCACCTCGTAGCCGAGGTTATTGATCCTGGCTAACCAAGAGTCCCAGGTCTCCTTGAAGCCTTGGTGATGCTGTAAGAGCTTTGTTTAGAGCGCTTCTGTTCATAGCAGACAATGCTTTGCTCCCCGAGTTCCAGGATGGGTCATTTCGTTTGAGGGCCTTTGATCTACACATCCCCTCCTGCCAGGCCCAGGCTTAACCATCCTCGGTGTTGTGTACACAGACCCTGAGACCAGAGCCGCATGGATCTCTCCTCCTGTCAGTGCTTATCTGAGCAGCCCTGAGGGAATATAGGATCCCTCTGAACTGGCATGTTGAGTGAATTGGATAATTGCACATCCCAGGGCATCTCCCTTTTTTGACCTTCTTCACCCCAAACCTCAAAACTATCCTTCCAAGGAACATCTAGCAAGGACTCATGGACAAAGCCAAAGTGGGGAAGGATTGAGGGAGGAAGAGAGGGAAGGGGGCAGGGGAAACTGGTGGAGGGTAGGTGGAGACAAATGTATTTGCAAATAAATAAATTAATTAATTAAAAAATTAAAAAAAAAAAACCCAAACAAACAGAAAACTATCCTTCCATCCACAGAGCCAGCAGGGGTTTTGCTGCTCAGAAACATTCCTTCGTTGTGCCCAGGTGGGGGCAGGGAGAGGCCTGTTCTGAGCAGCCATGTCTGGGGCAGCATAGTCAACACCCAGGGGGCCCAGGCCCCAGAGGGAGAAATTCTGTGCCAAGGAAAACACAGGAGGCTACGTGGGAGGGAGAAGTGGGGGCCAGTGGGTGGCCTCAGGTGAGGCCCTTACCTCTGCCTTTCCTTGGCTCATTGGACACAGAGAGCACCCAGCAGGTCAATTAAAACATCAGCTTCTCTCAACCCAGTCTACCCTAGAGGTGATGGACCACCTGAGGCCAGCAGGGGCTTGGGGAGTTCAGGCAGGGCTGCCTGGGTGAGAGGGAGCTGAATCCATCTGTCTGACCAGGGACCCTGAGGAGGAAGTCAGTTGGCCCCCCAAGGAGGGCTGTAAAAGAGGAACCTAGCCCTGGCCGGCATAGCTCAGTTGGTTGGAGCATGGTCCCATAAACCAAAAGACCACGGGTTCAATTCTTGGTCAGGGCACATACCCAGGTTGTGGGTTCAGTCCCCAGTTGAGGTGCCTACATGAAGGCAACCAATCCATCGAGCTCTCTCTCTTTCTCTCCCTCTCTCCCCCTCTTCCTCTCTCTAAAAGAAATGAAAAAAAAAAAAAAAATGTCCCTGAGTGAGGGTTAATGAAAAGAGGACCCCAGGGAGCTATGTTGGGTGCTCCTCCCTACACCAGTGGGGCGAGGGGTTTGGAGAGGCCCTGGTTGCTTAACTCTCCTGAGGTCATTGCCTACACTTGCTCAGAGCCTCAGGCCCTCTGAGCCAACATGTTGTCTCTGCTGCTTGCTGCCTAGCTCATCAATGGGGTCAAGGGCCTGGACTGGAGGGGCTGACGTGGCATCTGAGCTCAGCCCCCTGGACTGCTCTGTTGCCCTGGCTCTGCTCATACCAAACCCAAGCAGACACACCCTGGGCAGGCAGGCTGCCTGGGGCTTTTGAGCTGGGGAGCTGCTGGCAGACACTATAGGGCAGACTTTTCTTCGCAGTCTCGCCCAGGCATACTCTGCTTGTCACCACCACTCCGTTTTGTATTTTTATTGCCTTTATTATTATTATTATTTTTATTTCTTCTTGATCTCATTGTTAACCCACTCATTGTTTACTAATATGTTATTTAGCCTCTATATCTCTGTGTGTTTTTCAGTTTTCTTGTTAATTTCTGGTTTCATAGTATTGTGGTTAGAGAAGAGGCTTGATATGATTTCAATCTTCTTAAATTTATTACACCTTCTTTTGTGTCCTAATATGTGGCCTATCCTAGAAAACGCTGCATGTGCACTTGAAAAGTATGTATATTCTGCTGCTCTGCAATGAAATGTTCTGAAGATTTCAGTTAAATCCGTCTGATGCAGTGTGTCATTTAAGGCCTCTGTTTCCTTGTTGATTTTCTGTCTAGAAGATCTATCCATTGATGTTAGTGGGGTGTTAAAATCCTCTACTATTCCTGTATTACTGTCAGTCTCTCTCTTTATGATCATCAAGATTTGCTTCACATATTTAGGTGCTCCTATGTTGGGTGTGTGAATGTTTACAAGGGCTACATCCTCATGTTCGATTGCTCCCTTTATCATTATGTAGTGTCCTTCTTTGTCTCTCACTGGATAGCCTTTGTTTTAAAGTCTGTTTTGTCAGATATAAGTATTGCTACCCCAGCTTTTTTTCCCTTTCCATTTGCATAAAATCTTTTTCCATCTCTTTACTTTTAGTCCGTGTGTACCTTTCATTCTGAGGTGGGTCTCTTGTAGACAGCATATATGTGGGACTTGTATTCTTATCCATTCAGCTACCCTATGTCTTTTGATTGGAGCATTTAAGCCATTTACATTTAAAGTGATTATTGATAGGTATATATTTATGGCCATTTTTTCCTTTTAACTATGATCTCCTCCTCCTCATCCTCCTCCTTCTTCTTCCAGGCCCTTTAACATTTCTTGTAATATTGGTTTGGTGGTAACAAATTGCTTTAGCATTTTCTTGTCTGGGAAGCTCTTTATTTCTTCTTCAATTTTAAATGTTAGCCTTGCTGGGTAAAGTAGCCTTTGTTGTAGGCCCTTGTTTTTCATCACTTTGAATATTTCATGCCATTTCTGGCCTGAAAGATTTCTTTTGATAAATTAGCTAACTGTCTTATGAGAGCTCCCTTGTAGGTAACTAACTGTCTTCCTCTTGTGGCTTTTAAGATTCTCTTTGTCTTTAACAATTGCCACTTTAATTGTGGTGTGTCTTGGTGTGGGCTTCTTTGGGTGCTTCTTGTTTGGGGCTCTCTGTGCTTTCTGGGCTTGTATATCTTTTTACTTTACCAGGTTAGAGAAATTTTCATTCATTATTTCTTCAAATAGGTTCTCAATCCCTTGCTCTTTCTCTTCTCTTTATGGTATCCCTATGATGTGAATGTTTTTATGCTTCATGTTATCCCAAAGGTCCCTTAAACTATCCTCATTTTTTGAAAATTCTTTCTTCTTTTTGCTGCTCTGATTGGGTGTTTTTTTCTACCTAGTCTTCCAAATCACTGATACAGTTCCCTGCTTCATCCAACCTTCTGTTTATTCCTGCCAGTGTATTATTCATTTCAGATATTGTACTCTTTATTTATTACTGGCTCTTTTTTATAGTTTCTATGTCATTTGTGATGCTGTTGCAGTTCCTACTGAGTACTTTGTAGTTCTCACTAAGTCCCTTGAGCATCCTTATAACCATTTTTCTGAAGTCTACATCTGATAAGTTGCTTGCCTCTCTTTCATTTAGCTCTTTTTCTGGAGATTTCTCATGTTCTTTCATTTGGAGCCTGTTTCTTTGTTTCCCCATTTTGGCTGCCTTTTTGTGTTTGTTTCTATGTATTAAGTAAATCTGCTATGACTCCCAATCTTGGTGGCATGTCCTGTAGGGTTCAGTGGCACAGTCTCCTTGATCACCTGAGCTGGGTGCTCCAGGAATGTCCCTTTTGTGGGTTATGTGGGCCCTCCTGTTGTAATTGAGTCTAAATTGCTACTGGTCAATTCATGTGTGGGATAGACCCTCAGGCTAGGTGACTGTGAGGCTTAACCCTGAATACAGTGTGTGAGCTGCTTTGTAGGTACTAACCACACAATGCAGAATTCACTTCAGTAGGGTCTGACACTTGCTGAGATCTCTCCTTTGATATGCCACTAGATAAGGTAATTGGATCCTGCTCTGATGTTGTCTGAGCTGACCACTGGGTGTGTTGGTTCTGGTCCTCCTGCAGGGACTGTGGTGCAGATCAATTGCAGATGTTGCCTATGGCTGGCCCTGGGCAACCTGCTTGGAACTACAAGGGATTCACATTAGTGGCTGCCTCTGCTGGGCCTAGGTGTACGCAGGAAGGACCAAGGTGCATACCAAGACTGGCTATTACCAGCCCTGGGCCTGGGGCCAGGTCAGCAAAAGTCCCAAGTCACCCTGAGATCTGCCCTTGGCTGCCTCTGCCTGCTGGCTGCCTGTTAGGCTGAGTCACTTAAAGAACCTCTGGCAGTACTTGTGTTGCATAAGGTAGGTTCTCAGGGAGTCACCGAGTAGGGGCAAGTGGTGTTCACCAGATTGGTACAGATTCAAACTTAGTGCCAGTGCTGGGTCTGAGGCCACTAAGCAAAAGTCCCTGGGTATACCAAGCCTAGGTGCCCCCTGCCGGGTACTCACTCATATTTATGGTGGATGGGGCCTCAGGGAGTCATCAGAGGCCAACAGAGCTTGGTCAATCCCAAGCAGACCAAGATTGGATTGTGTGAAGG